CCCTAAACCCTAAACCCTGATACCTGAACCCTACACCACTAAACCCTACACCCTAAACCCTCAACCCCTAAACTCTACACCCTAAACCGTACACACTAAACCCTGAACCCTAAACCCTACCCTAAACTCTCCCTCTCAGGTACGGCACCGAAGCCCCGAACGGAGCGCCGGCCTGGCAAGCAGCTGCAGCTTCGTCGTCTGCGCCAGGCCAGAACCTCAAAAAGTGAACGGCTTAGGGGTTTAGGGTTTAGGGTTTAGGGTTTAGGCTTAGGCTTAGGGGTTTAGGGATTTAGGGTTTAGGGACTAGGGTTTAGGGTTTGGGTTTAGGGATTTAGGGTTTAGGGTTTAGGGATTAGGGAGTTTAGGGTTTACTGATTAGGGAGTTTAGGGTTTGGGGGGTTTAGGGGTTTGGGGGGTTTAGGGGTTTGGGGGGTTTAGGGGTTTGGGGGCTTAGGGTTCAGGGGTTGGGGGTTTAGGAATTTTGGAGTTTCAGGGCTTGGGGGCTTAAGGATGATCAAGCGAATGGCTTTTGGGTTGACTGCTTCGGGCGTTGGGCTTTGTGGTTTAGGGTATGAGGCTGGGGGTGGAGAAGTTCTTAAACCCTACCTGAACCTACCAAAACCTACTTCGTGATTAGATTCCTATAAATCCTACTATGTTAGGCTTCATAGGTCATAATGAGAACCTACAAAAATCTGGGTTCTGGTAGTTTAATCTAAACCTCAAACCACCAGGGTTGCTGTGCTCCCGGATCCCCCTGGAAAGAACTCAAAAGGCGAATGGGCCTTTGATTACGCATTCAAACTTACCTCCATATGCGGATCTCGCCGTAATACCCCGAGAGGCAAAACACAAAACAAAATCCTCGAAGAAGAACCCTCTTCCCTACCCCAACTCTACCATTTGGGAGGGTTGTGCGAAGAGTTGTGATGGGCTTCTGTCGGGTTCCATTAATAAAGGGGATGGCTTTTCTTTTGGGGGTGCTCCTGTCAACTCTAGCCTGCGCCATCCCGCTGAGAACCGAAGACTAAGAAACACCTGGACCTTCGCAATGGTCGGTTTAGGGTTTAGGGTTTAGGGTTCAGGGTTTAGGGTTTAGGGTTCGGAAAAATGAGAAACAAGTTCTGACCTAGCCCTTTAGGTCTGCGTACCCAACCTTTCAAGCTGTTGCTCACATTAATGACAGCAAGAAGAATACAAAAAACGTTCTTCTTAGTCGAACTTGGTCAGGGTAACACTGACTACCATAGAAGCCCTACTGTAAACCCCTACACCCCTCAAACCCCTAAACTCCTAAGCCCTAAACCTTGAAGGGACCCTTAGAGGGATCTTTAAACCTTCAACCCGACACCCTACACCCCTAAAGCGGACCCCTACAGCCCCCAACACTGACCTCCTCCCTAAACCCGAAACCCAAAACCCCAAACCCTAATAAAACCCTAAATCATAGACCCGAATGCCACAAAAAACGACCTCCCAAAGCGTTCCGTCCGCGGAGCCCACTGGCGAGCGCTGCAGCACGAACTGGGCGAGGGCCCATCGCTGCGCACTGAGTATCCTGAAGTGTCCCTTTAAGGGTTACTTTACTAAGGGTTCCTTTAGGGTTTAGGGCTAAAGAGTTTAAGAGTCCCTCTACGAGTTCCTCACAGGTTTCCTTTAGGGGTTCCTTTACGGGATCCTTTATGGGTTCCTTTAAGGGTTCCTTTAAGGGTTCCTGTAAGGGTTCCTTGAAGGGTCCCTTCAGGGGTTTGGGTTTTTTTCTTTGACCTTTGAAAGAGTCAGGCTGGGTACTGCCACCTAATGTAGGGGCCGTGAAAATTAGACTAGGGTTTTGGGGTTCCGTTTAAGGGTTCCATTAAGGGGTACTATAAGGGCTACTATAAGGGTTTAGGGTGTAGGGGCCTTAATAATTAGAATAGGGTTTTGGGCTATATGATACTAGAATCATGAGAAGGAACCTCCAAAATACTACAGGTAATTATTTAGGCTTCGAAACTGGGGCTTTAGGATTCAAGGCTTTGGGATTTTAGGGTTTTTGGGGGTTTTGGACTGTAGGTTGTGCAGCTTGAGGGTTTTGGGATGATTTCCCCTTAGCACGAGTCCTTGCAGTAAAGGAGGGACCAAACCAGTGCCTTAAAGCAGAATCCAGCCCCAACCTGGGCCAGAAAAGAGCCAATGGTACAGGGCTTAGTAACCCTAAACCCTAAACCCTAACCCGTACTTAAGACTTAGGGCCTAAGGCTTCAGGGCCTAAGGCTTTGAGTCTGGTGCCATGCAAATCCTGCATGAAACGGTTTAGGGTTTATTTAGGGTTTAGGGAACCTCAAACCGCGAAGCTCAATCTTTTTCCCAACTCCTGTAACGCCGCACTTTCCAAGGCCCCAGACTCGGCTGCATGGTCTCAGTCAAGATCCCGGCTATAGCAAAGTACCACCAAGATAAATGCTTTGAAGCCCGCCTCTTAATGCCAACTAAGCCCCTAAACCCTAAAACCGTAAACCCTAAACCCTGAACCCCTTACACCTATAAACCCTAAAAACCCTAAACCCCACAAACAAACCCTAAAACCTAAACCCCCGATAGAGAAACCTCTCAACAGTGATCCTCAGAAGGACCCCAAAACTCTCCCAAGCCCAGCTGTAAAGCCCCGGCAAGAACCCTGCAGCACCAAACATGGACCTCATTGAAGCACCCTAAACCTGGTTCCTTGTTGGGGTTATATTTAAAATGACCATGTTTAAATCCTTATTGGTTTTTGCTATAACACAAATGTAAAATTGTATCCAACAGGACTCAGAAACCCTACACCCAAACAGAACCCCAACAAGAGCCCCAAACGAGCGTCATGGAGATCATTTGCATCAGCATGCCAAGCCAATGGGCAGAGGATCGGCCTCCGGAAAAATGCCAAGCAGGCCTCTTTTGTCCGTTGAAGTGCGGAATTTAGGCTTTGAACGTGGGCGGCAGAAAGATGGAGGCCTGCTGCGAGAACACCTACAAAACCCAACTGAAAACAATGACACCTATACAGCCACAAAATATACAACATACCAGAAGCCCTGTCACAAGAAGAGCGCCTTCAAATCCTGAGAAGACCTTGTTTAAACAAAAAACACTCATAAAGCCCCGTAGAACCCGAAACCCCCAAGTCTTTTCTGCTCCGCGGTGTTTTGTTTTAAACCGGCCTCCGGGCAGCTCGGGCACATGGCACTGGAAGACGCCGCCCATGATCCTTAGTCCGAACAAGGGGTTGTGGGCGTAGGGCTTATGGGGTCGTATGAATTCATTTTACGGGGTCTGATATGGCTTTTGGCGCTTTAGAAGATGATCTTATACGGCTTTTATACGGCTTGATAAGGGTCTTACAACCGCTTTGAAGGGAGTTCGGGTTCTATCAGGGCTCTCTAAGGGTTCTTTAAGGGCTCCATGACAGCTCCAGAAAGTTGTATATGGGTAGTTTTCTAAATTAAGGCCCCTTTTCTAGGTCCCCAAAATAGTACGGCACCCCCAACAGGGTTCCTAACGTAGAGAACTACCCATATAGAACCCTTACCGTACAAATTTAGACACCCTTGTAGATCCCTTGAAGGAACCCTAAAGGGGACCCCAACCTACCCATATGGGGTTGAGAGCCTTTCAGACGGATCCTCGTGGGTTTAGGATTTAGGGTTTAGGGCTTAAGGTTTAGAGGGTTTAGGGTTTAGGGGGGTTAGGGGGTTTAGTGGGTTTAGGCGGTTTAGGGTTTAAGGCTTAAGGTCTAAACCCTAAACCCTAAACCCTAAACCGTCGTAGTTGTGGCCAAGCCGCATCAAGGCACTGGAACAGAGGCGGAGCAGACCAAGTCGCTCCAGGCCCCAGAACCTGCGGAAGGCGTCTCCATCTGGGGCGATGCTCTTGAGTTTAGGGTTTAGGGTTTCATATGGGAGTTTAG